TATTCACTATCTTATCTTACCCGGGAAAGTACAACTTGTGACACATCATGACATCATCTATCATAATATTTGTCAGTCCACTCGCAGTACAGATCTGCCTAAGCTAGGGAAAAACGTCGTATGAACCTTCAGTCGTTGCCGGATTGCCTCTGATTGAACAAGCATTTCCGGGTAAACTAATGATTATTTTTCCTCCAATTTTTCAGATAATTTTCCTCGCAATTTCACCCATAGTCTCTGCAAACTTCAAGGTAGTATATTCATACCTTTCCCTAAAAATAGAAGTTTTATTGCAGGAAATTTGACTACTCTGGAATGCTCATACGGCGTTTTTCCTTAGCGCGGCAAAGATGGAACCAGGTGGATCCTCCTCAATCTCCTCTTGAGAGGCTCCGTCCCTAAAAGTATGCAGTCTCAATACACGCTGGATTCTCCTAAGACGTGCGTACCTCATGACAGCTTTTAATTTTTTCCTTTGACTTTAAGAATTATCGGGAATTACTTGTTTCAATTCATTGTAATAATAAGAGGGTCATTTCAAAAGTAAGTTTCCGTATTTTATCCCTCTGAAACTGACAACATAATGCTTCGATTATTGAAAAATGGAAATTCCAAAAACCGGTGATCGGCATCAGAAGTTGCTAATATCGCGCAACTGTTTCTCTCCTTTATCGGTAACCCATATTCCATGAGATTAAGAATTCCTGTCATGAAAATAAGAACAAAAATGTATAAACAATTCTCTGAAGTGAAACTATTTTTTTCCTTTTGTTTCTTTTTTCCTCTTCTTCTCTTTTTTCTTTTTTTCTCTTTTTACTTTTTTCTTTTTTTCTTTTTTTCTCCTATTTTTTTTCTTTTTTCCTTTTTCCTTTTTTCCTATTTTTCCTATTTTTCCAATTTTTTTTCCTTTTTTATTTTTTCCTTTTCCCCTTTTTTTTCTTTTCTTCTTTTATTCCTTTGTTTTTTTTCTTTTTCACAGTTAATTATGCATAAACTTTGTAACACCTGATGACTCTTATCAGGTTTGAAATTTCCACTTTTCAATGGACTACTGGACAAGGTATGAAATTAAGAACCGCCATATATGTTTGCAACCTCATCGAAAGTATCCAAAAATGTTAAGGAATTTTATAACCTTCCTCAAAAATGAATATTGGAGGCGAGAAAATTTAAACAAATTCAAATGTTCTTACGGTGCCGTTATTCCTAGCTCGAAAGTATGGTGACTTTGTGCGATGATAAGCAGCAAATGTTTTCTCGATTTTTTGCAGAAAAAGCGCCATGGGTCCTCCAAAACTAACGTACTTCTCGTTGAAAGGTGCTGGCGAAACAATCCGTTTTATTCTCTCGTACGCCAACGAAGAATTTATCGATGAAAGAATTGACTTTGTCAAGGATTGGCCCAAGATAAAACCAAGTAAGATTTTATTTTTCAATCTGCCGAAATAGCAATTCCATGTAAGGATGCAGGGCAAATGCAATATTCCCCGTTTTCATCTCTTCTTCTCTAAACTGAAAGGTACTGATACTCACTACTGTTGTGAAATAGTTGCTTCAGGCGCCGCCGCACGGCCGGGCGGGCGGCCAGCGCGAAACGCGCATTGGCGCCTACAAACCTAAGTGGATACTTCAAGCATTGTTCAATGCGAGAGGTATCCACCTAGGTTTGTAGGCACCAGTGAGCCTCTCGCGCTGGCAGCACGCCGCTCCACTCTGTTCGGCTTTAATATTTATACTCGCATAGTCAGCGTTTTTTAACTCATGATTCTGAAATGTTAGCACATTCTGCATTGATTATTCTCATTTAAATTGATGGGAAAAAAATATTTATCAATTTATCACAGGAGAATAAAAATATAATGTGTGTTTTTTAAATATTGGTGGTTCCGTGTCAAATTTAATGATTTTTAAAGCACATTAATTTTTTCTTTTACATTTTGTACTTTTATTGTGCTGCAGCGAGGTGTACGCGCAGCGCAACCAAACGCTCAAAATTTGACGTATTTGACTCTAAAAGGTCGATGTGCAAATGGGTTAAAACTGAAGATTGCGTGCTTCTTGGTTTTTTCCCCTCTTTTATTCATTTTTGCAGTTTCTGTCGGCTTAACTGTGGCTCGTTGAGATTAATGTCGCTTGGAAAAAGTTTTACAAGTATTTGTCACGTTTTAAAAATATAAATGTTTTCAAAATGAAGTAATAATTTCGTAAAGAAAAAATAAAAAAAGTACCTATACATATATAAGGTATATTGTACGTCGAATATTTTAAGGATAGAAATAAAACCTAATATTCACCGATGACAATTTAAAATATGATTCAAAAGGAGAAAGTAATAACATTTCATATAGAAAATGAGCAACCATAAGAATACCTCCTTCTCTATAAATTTCTCATTTCTATATTGTCAATATAATTTTACATACCGACTAAAATATAACGTTTGGACCAAGTCACTGTTGCTTATTTTACGTGTGGGCGTATACTACTGTACAAAAAAGGTGCGCGGACGAAAAATCGTTGACAAAATGTCCTGAAACCTAGCTTTATGATTTGTAGAAATGTAGAGTAGCCAAAAGTACCAGTTTCTTCCACAGCGAATACTTTTCTGGAACTCAAAAACCATTTAAAATATTATCCCCGATCCAAAATTTTATATCAAATTAAAATCACCTCTTTAGCTAGCTTTCACGTACAGTGTAGCCAAGCCAAAAGTTGCAGTTCCTTGCCCAGCGAATGATTTTCTAAAGAAATAGGTATATTGACAATTGAGAAAATCGAATAAATAAAGGCCTTACGTGTAAGTGCATGCTGAGACTTACATTTTTAGTATAATAGAAAAAAAGGACGATAAGAAGGTAAATCGCGTGATTTTCAAAAAAGAGGACAAATAAAAATGTTGAGTCTAAAGTTCTGTACGTTGTAGACTTATGCTTTTGTCTTGAATTCTTTTAGCAAGAGTCTTATACTTTGTCGTTTCCCACAAAAGAACGT